GAAAGTTCGACCGTACTTTCTTTGGAGAACGTTCAGACTCTCTGTCCCTTCGCGATATTACCAGCGTTTCAAAGTCCACGGAGATTCCGTTCGCGTTGTTGTTCCTGCACAACAACCACGGAGATACTACTCCCTCTTGGAACGGAAACTTCGACAGTTCGGTAAACTATTACAGAAACGCGTGGCACGGTGTTTCGGTGAACACAGTCCTGGACGTTCTCCAACTCTTCAACCAGAGACGTCGAGGTTGACTGTAATATTTCTTTTCTCCTTCTTTCTTTCTTTTTTGTTTCTCAACGACGCAGCATTAGAAAAGGATATTGTAGGCTGAATCCCGTCGTAGCTGAGGTCGTCGGGGTTGCAGTCGTTGGGCCGATCGTTGCTGTCCATCCTGAGATGTCCATAGTCCGGACTGCCATGTTGGGCAGCCGCCAATAAGGCAGGATGCAATATAGATGGCGGATGGGGCAGTGGAGGGGAATCCCTTACTTCTACACCTGCACTCGGAGGACTCGCAGGTAGGTGGTGTGCCCCTGGGGGTGGCACCTGACCTGCATGACCCGCGTGACGGTTGAAGAACGGTGAGTATGGCGAGAACACTTGACTCTCGTGGAGACTTGGGTTTGGTATCGCTACACTGGTTGGCAGAGACACTGGCAGCATCGGTGGTGGCGCGTGATACGTTCTCGGTGGAGGTGGTGGTGGTGGACTCTCGCTGCCTCCTTGGGAGCAGCTACCTTCTTGCGCCAAAATTCTCGACACCGTTCTTGGCGTGATCCTCGTATCCGTCACCTGCGAAGGGAAATACTAATTGATACATCGACTTGCAATGGTAAAATTCAGATTGTTGTTCTTCTTAATTCTAGTATACGTGTGTAATTTACTCGAATCGAATAACAGAGTGTTGGAATAATAATTAGGAAAAAAGAAAAAAGAACGTTCGTTCGATGCTCTGTTAAATATAGAAGATCGTTTTCGACGAACAGTCTCCTGTGATAAAAATTCGTCGGATTGATTATCGATCGTAACTAACTGGACTCTGTGTGTGCAGCAAGCAGTGCAACAAGTGAATTTGTTTCGCGCTACAAATGTCTACGGACCAGATATCCCTTCGAAAGATATACAGAAGATAATTACCTTATGACGTTTCTTTTTCGGTGTCATGACGAGCGAAAGGGCCTCGTCCTGTTCCGAGTCCCTGCTTTCTCTCTTCTCGACTCTCAAATTACAATATTGGTCACGTTGCTGCTGTTCTCTTTGCTGGTGTTCGAGTTGCTGTTGATGTTGCTGTTGTTGCTGCTGCTGTTGCGCCTGCATAGGACCCATACTGTACATCACCGGTGGCTTTGGTGTCTGAAATAGTCCACTAACTTGCCCCACGTGTGGGGGTAGCTGGTTTATTTGATTAAGGTTGTTTTCCGTGGGGCCAGAATGAGGACCATGGGTCCTACCTCTCATGGAAACGATTTGTGGGAAACCCGTAGACTGTGGTGGAGGGGGCCCGCCGTTGTGGGGCCCCCGTGGCCCGTTTGGGCCACCGGGTGGTTGTGGTGCTCCTCTATCTACTACTTTCGTCCTAGGTGATTTTCTTTCGAGTATCTGATTGGCCAAAAGGAGATCTTTGTTTAATTGCTCCGCCGCAACTTGCGCCGCTTCGCCTTGTTTCCCAAGAAACCTCCACTGTTGCCCGATCCTTGTCACTACCTTGTCTATCAGATTCGACAAGTACATGGTGATTTCGGCTTTCAGCGTATCCGACAGACTTTGTAGGTCCTCGTCGGTGATATGGGAACCCGTCGAGCCAGCTGCTGCCGCGGCACCTCTAAATACATTCATTCTCTCTTGGAAGTCTTTATGCTGAAGAGGTGTACTCGCTGGCTGCATTTGTGGCGTTTGCGGCGTGGACGGGCCGGTATTGCTTTGACTTTGTTGCTGCGTTTGACTCGGTGGGGGTGGCGGAGAAGTTTGTCGTTGATGTTGTTGCTGCTGCTGCTGCTGCTGCTGCTGCTGCTGTTGTTGTTGTTGTTGCCTGACAGCAGCCTCTTGATGCTGCTTCATTCTCTCCAGAGCTTGCTGTTCGAGGTAGAGTTTGTGTCTCATGTGGTACATAGCGGCTGCCGCGGCGTGTGGGTGTTCGGTTGGGAGGGCCGCGAGACCGTTATACGGTGATGGATGAGGTCGCGGTGGTTTGAGCGGTGGCTGAGGACTTAGGGGCGCACCGATGCTTTCGCTCGTGTCCGAATCGATCCTACTCGTAAGCTCATTGTACTTTTGCTGCATCTCAGCTAATTGTTCGTGGAGATTCTTCAATTGAGTCTGAAGGTTATCCTTTTCCTCGCGTTTTTGCCTGATCGGCGAAGGATCCTCCTCCTCCTCCAACTCCTCCTCGTCGTCCAGCATAGCGTCGTTGATACTGTGCTGGAGAACGTGATGCACCGTTTGTTGCTGGGGTTGGTAAAGTTTGCGTTTTTTGCAACCGTTTACCGTGCCAGTCTGAAGGGCCGGACTGCTGCGCATCGTGCTTACGATATTTTCGACACGGGCGCGTTTAGTTTCGGTTGTCGGCGAACTGATCTCCGTTTTGGGCACGATCGGGCAAGGAGAGTGACTAGGGCTACGTTTGATGTTCATCGAGTCCTGCATCTCCTCCTTGACGGAAACGGACCCTGACCTTGGTTGCGTGGGACTAGGCGGCAAGCTCTGTTCAGAGTCAGAACCATCGAGATTCGCCCCAGGCTCCATACCAGCTTCGGCGAACGCCTCTTCCATGGCACGTGCGGCTGCGGCTGCGTCCTCGGCGCTATCCTCAGCATCGCCGGGCATCACGGTATCACGGTCACTGTGATTCGCGTTATTCACAACGTTATTTCCATCACCACTCTCCTCTCCACCACTGTGCACTGTACCACTACGTGCACTATCACTGTTATGCTGTTGATGCTGTTGAGGACTTTGCTGATGCTGCTGTTGAGATTTAAGTAGATCCGCTGTGGTGTTGTTGTTGTTGCTATGTATACTGTTATTGTTGTTTGGCTGCTCCTGTATCGGTAGCGCGGAGATTTTCCGCCCTTGGAGTATATCACGAAGCATGTGCTGCGTGAGTTCGGCGGTGGCGGGATCGTCGCAATTAACTACAGCACCGGATTGCAAATTAGCAGCGGGGTCCATGCCGGCACCAGTCATCCCGTGGCCGCCCTCTGGCGGTGAGCCACCGGCGTCACTGGCCTGTTTGACCTGTCGTCCGAGTAGCTCGTTCAACATCTTGGCGGGGCCGTAACCCGGTGCCCCGAAGAAGCCGAAAGCCGCGTGGGCGGAATGCTGCTGAGCGCTAGGACCTAAATGACCTTGACTGCTTGCCGCTCCAGCTTGTTGTTGCTGGAGCTGGTGTTGTTGTTGTTGCTGCTGCGACTGGTGATGTGGCTGCGGTGGTTGCTGCGGTGGTTGCTGTTGCTGTTGTGGCTGATGTGTTGGTCCGCTGCCACCGAAGATAGAACCGTACAGATCACCGCTGTGGAAGGATGGCCGGGAGGTGAAGTGCGGTATACTCGAGTAGTTGTTGCGCGGCTCGCCGGCGTCCACGCGCTGTCTGGTGCGCTTCTGCTTCTTCTGGAGTCGCTGTTGCTTGCTTTCCGTAGTTGCTCCGTAGGGGGCGAAATACTCGGTCTCCTCCCCCGATGACATCATCGGCCGTCTGGTTGGTCGGCCCCCCGAAGGCCTCCGCGTCCCCTCTCCGCCAGGGTTCCTTGTCACCCCTCCCCTTCTCGCTCGAATAGCCCCTCGTGGCTCAGCGCGCTCTGCCTCTGCTTCTCTACTCTACTCTCGCCGTTTCCCCTACCACAGCCGCCTTTTCTCCTCGTTCCTTCTACCTTGTCCTCCCCACTATGCTCGCAGACACTCACCCCTCTCCACTTTCTTCGTCTTCAGCGTCACCTTCTCCTTCTCTTCTTCCTTTTCCTCCTCCACCTCTTTCTCCTCCGTCGCGCCTCCGCCGCCGCCGCCTCCTCTTCTCGTTTCTTCTCCTTCTCCTTCTCCGACGCCGCCGCTGCCACTGCCTCACCCTCCTCCGCCTCCTCTTCTTCTTCCTCTTCTTTCTCCTCCTCCTCCGCCGCCGCCGACGACGACGACGACGACGACGTCGGCAACCTTCTCCTTCCCGACGAACTCCTGCTTCCTCCTCCTCTTCACCTTCTTCTCCTTCTCTCGCGTTTCCTCTTCCTCTTCTTCCGTCGTTCCTCGATTTTTCTTTATTTTCTTTTCACTATTCCGCGCCCCGCTCCTTCCGCCTTGGGGTTGACGCCAGCAGCTGGGGCTTCTCGGTGACTCGGTGTCGGCGGTTCGTCCTCGTCTCGGGATGGCGACTTCTCTTTAGGAGACACGGCTCGTTCCTCTCAGCACCGTTTTTTCCACTACTGTCGTTTTTTCTTACGTTTTTATCGCTATTTCTACCGGATCCGCCGCTTTCGCTGCTGTTTTTACGTTTGTTGTTACGTTTCTTCGTGACAATCGATGCTATATTACTCCCGTTGATGATCACGAGAAGTGAGGCCGGTGCTCTTGCGGGTGGAATCCTCGTGCTCCCGCCTGGGAGCTGCATCCTTCGAGTTCGCCAAAGGGCTAGGTGCCCCTCGCTCCCTCGTCTCGATTTTCCGTCCCGCGATTCTTCTTATTCGTCTGTAACAAAAACATCCGTGTCCACGCATTAGCCATTGTTATTGCCTCCGGTTCGAAAGGAAATAATATCAAACTCGAGAAACGTTCAATCGTACGCTTTATTTTAAACGTGTTCCGTATATAGACGCTGGGCCACGTTTCTATGTAGATATTATAGAAACGTCTGACATCGTGTTTTATATACGACTGTCGTTCACTTTTCTACGTGACATAACTTTACTTCGGCTCGATTTAACCGAGCAAAGACGGAAAAAGGGTTTCGACAGAATGTTCCAATAAATAAGTTTTGGAAATAAGCAACAGGATGTTCAGAGTTACGATTGAAAGTGAAAACATTTACGAGAATTATTTTGTGTACTTTTTTTTTTTGTCCGATAAAGCACATTTGATCTCTTTCACCACGCGTCACTCGTTATTTATCATCGTCTTGCCGACAATTATCGAAATTTCACGAAAGAAACGGAGAATTTCTTTCCTCGACAGAGGAGAGACATACATTCCGGAAAAGTGTATCGGTTCATCGCACGACCGCGTCACGTAACTCTAGGAAATGTGAACGGCGGGAATAGCAAGTGTTACCGGTTAAAAATACTAATAATCGATCATGGCGACAAGACAAAGAATAGACTGCGAGTAAAGCGAATAATGTGTTTTAACTTAGGCAGGTATCTTGTACGGGAGTTCGTGTAGAAACTGAAAGTATAGACGAACGTCAGAATTTGTCGAAGACGAGGGTGACCCGAAGAGAGGCCATAAGAAAATTACTTGCGTTGAATTTCTTATTCGAAGCGTACCCGGTTGCAATGAGTCGACTCTTTTTGTCAGTGATTGCATGTTGTTGTTGATCGATTGTTGCGATAAAGTAAATGGTCACAAAAAAAAAAACAAAAAAGAATAAAACTAATTGACAGTAAATTCTCAGTCACCATCCCTTATAACAGAGCTTCGAAGATTCGAAAATTCAAATACATCCGATAATATCTTAAGGTTGGAAAATTGAAAATTGGTTCGAAACGAAAGAGAGATAGATAGAGAGAGCAATGTGTTTCCACGATGTCGTCCCCTGCGAACAACTTGAACGATGGATGATAATCGACGGCCGTTCAACGAATTCATTCACCAACGACAGGGCTCGCAGAGCGAGGGCCTGATCGTTCCACCATTCAATTGCCGATACGCATAAGTGCGTGGGTGGAACACGTGAGTCGGTTCTGCGATTGCACGCACGCGGACGGCCGATACGGCGGCGGGTTGCTTAGTGTGCACCAATATCAACGCGATACACGCTCCCGTGAATGTGCATGAGATTCGAAGCAACAGCTGAGCAGCTTAAAGCACCTGCGCTCAATAGGCCGACATATTCCATAGTTTGCCTACGCACGAGCAGCCTGCGTTCGAGGACACGAGCGCACTCGTCCCTATATATCGACGAAGAGAGCGACTAGACGTATATATACGCGCGGCTCGTGAAGCAACAAGAAGGCTCAAAGAGAGAGGAATACGTATATAGCAACACGTGGCAAAAGCGGCGAATTGGTGGAAGCACGGAATCGTTGTACTTTTTTCCCTCAACCAGATATCGCAGGCGAGCGAGCGCGCGCGCGCGCGAGAGCCACCGTGCTTCCTCCAGTTTCAACTGTTCTCTCCCCGTTCGCGTGATCGAGCAAGGAAGAGAGTGAGAAACCTACACACAGCTTAGAATTCATCGATTATTCCCGCCGCCTCGACGATGCATCTAATTGAATAACGATTACCCGCTGTTTCTCTGTATCTCGTCGAACCGATGTAAACGACCTGAACCAGAGAGACCGAATGAAATTTGAATTAGGAGTTGTCACTTCTATTTCAAGCGATATTATTCCACACAGAAGTTACCTAATAATATTCACCATTTTTCTCTCGGACAGTGTTGGTAGAAAGGTGGAACAGGTGTACACTGGTAAAGGAAGAAAATTCAGATACAGAAGTTAGGATCAAGGGTAGAAAACAGTAGATAAGATGGTACTTGGTAAAAGAAATAAGTTCAGTTAAGGTAGTGGAATAAGACAGAAGAGGAACGATGGGAACGAGTGGATTTTTCGTTCACCTGCTTGTTTCAGTGACTGATCGTCAATGCCTCGTGAACACTGGAACGATGAACGTTCAATTTTTTAATTAATTTCGAGTGTTTTCATCGTAAAGAAAGGCACTTGGTTTCGAGATACTCCCTAGCAATTATCTTAGCCAGCACAGGGGGGAATGTGTTCGTCGGCTGAAAGGGTGACATATGGTCTCAGGCTCGATAACGTCTACGATCATACCTGCCTCGAAGAACGGAATACTTCGAGGGGGGTCAGCAATGTCTGTCCTTCCCACTTTTGATCGGTACTTCCCTTCTGTGCCGCCATGCGTGGGACGGTCATTATAAAAAGGTGACCCCACCGGAAATGGTTTTAGGAACTCTCCCACCGCCTCGACTCGGAAGTGGAAACGTCGGGCTAATTGCACGCAAGAAATGTGTTTGCGGTGATACATTGGAGGAACTTTCACGGTTCTGTTGTAGACACTTTATTGCCGGATCGAGCAGATGCGCCCCGTTCGATGGATCCTATTTTGTCGCTTTCAAATTAATTTCAATGAAACGTATTGTCGATTTATTTCATAGATTCTGCTGTTTAAAACAGGATGCTCGATGTATACTCGATGGAAACAATTATTATTCAACGCTGGCAGAAAAATAGAAATGACGATCGAAAATCAACTGTTTCGGTGACTTCTTATTTGTTCAGTGTGAAAATAAATGGAAGAAATTATAAGTATTGGATAAAATTATGTTTCCTACAAAAGTTGCATAGTTTTGTAAGGACCGATACGAGTATCTTTGCATCGGAAGGGTTGAAAGGCAAATTAGTTTCTATCTGCTCTTCGTTGTTTACAATGTCGAGAGGAAAACTTATTTTCCAACGGATAGTCCATTTCAGTGAATAAACTCGAATGATTCGGGGTATCGTTATGATTAACGCTTCCATAATTCTCCCGTGAAATGTAACGAAATGATTAAGCATGCAGGAGTTACAAAACACTGCAGCCGGAGAGTAACAAACGAGACTTTGTCATTACTAAACCATGTATTTCGATGGGCAATGACATTCGCATCGATCACCTTCGAGCGAGGCGAAAACAGCCTGATGAACCACCAACAGCCATTTCCTGTGCGTCATGCGATATTTACCGTTTAAGCAGGTGACTTGATTTGAAGGGGTGATTACAGGTCATGCCGGTGGGGTTGCGATACGAGATTAAAAAATCGCCGGTTCGAACCGACTCGTCCAGTTTATTACACGTTCAATATTCTCTGTCGGGCATTCCGATGAAATGAAACGGTATAATCCTCGAAGGAGAAACAGTTTGAGAAAGTTGTTTCCAAAGTGTAAGAACGAAGGGAGCTGTGGTGGTAAATTAAAAAAAAAGAAAAAAGGACGAAGGGTAGGATATATATATATGTGTGTACCGCGTTAAAAATTAACTGTCGATTATAAGAGTAAGTTAATGGAAGACTGGCTCGTAACCACGTCGACTTCTCCCGAAGACTTTCATCGTTAAAGGGTTAGGATCTAAGGTGGCCATTGTTTCGAACTATCGACGCAGATAACTTCCACCTATAGGTCGGGTAATTAAGGAAGAGACCGGAACACAAAAGAGCCTGGGGGCGAGGAAAGCGTTCGTTAATCTCTTACCGCGGATCACGCAGTTTCTATCGGCGTACCGACCTTGCATGAAATTTCAAAGGGAACACCGAGAATCGAAATTTTTTAATGAATCCATCGACCAAAAGGAAGAGACCAGAGAGAGAGACTCCTCTGT